TGTGATATTTCGGAACTGCTATCTTAGAATACACTGATATCGAAGGTCGTAGGTTCGATTCCCACTGTGGCAGGCATATTTTTCAAGCTTGCCCGCGGTGTGGATATACACTCAGAGTAACAGTACAATCATTATACATATATTGTTTTAATTGTTTTATATCGGCTTTTATAATAGTCGGAGAACTCGTTTACATAAGATGCATTGACAGCCATTTTGATTCTTTGTTGTTTTAATTGACCTCAGTTCGATGATCGCCCCCCACTTGAGTCAAATTATGCTAAAATATCACGTGATTGAAACCCAAGAATAGAAACATACAATTTATCATGAAGCCTCGTTCTCGCACTGGTTTCTAAGTCATTCGTCTGTTATTCTGAAATGGCCTATTGAGTTGCCCTCCATTCAAAAACTTAAAACACATATTGACTTGAAACAATTTATTAAATAAAGTCTTGATCAGAAAATTAGTGTTTCATAATTTAAATTCCATCTTGAGTACTTATAGAGTGTGTCAATTTGCAGTAGGATTGGCTAAATTAGATATAGCATTTAAATTAACACGCGTAAAAATCTTGTCGACAAGATGAACTCGCACTGCTTGTTCTAGCCTGCGAACAGGCTCTCAAGCTGAATTGAGAGCCTGCATCGATGACTAATGAATTTGAATATCTGCCCCGTAACATTCAGCTTGAGAGCCTGTTCGCAGGCTATGCTTGTTCCAATTCCAAGTTGTTAACAAGTCCGGAACAAGTTGTTATCATTTTGTAACAAGGTTGATGAGCAACAGACTCGCTACAAGTTGTTCCAACAAGTCTGATATTGTCTGCACGTAACAAGTTGTTAACAAGTCCGGAACAAGTTGTTATCATTTTGTAACAAGGTTGATGAGCAACAGACTCGCTACAAGTTGTTCCAACAAGTCTGATATTGTTTGCACGTAACAAGTTGTTAACAAGTTGATGACAACAAGCTTGTAGCAATTGACCATTTGCGTAATAGACTAAATTTTGATCTAGACAAAAATTTCATCACAGCTTGAAAGAGCATCACAAAATTAGTAATATACCAAAGTTTCGTTGCAAAATGTTGTAAAATGCAGAAAATACAGCCTTGCGAAGTTTGCAATTTTCAGTCATTTTAGATTACAAACGGGAAATTGACAGCCCCAACACCCTTCGAGGCTGTCAATTTCCCGTTTGTAATCTAAAATGACTGAAAATTGCAAACTTCGCAAGGCTATATTTTCCGCATTTTACAACATTTTGCAACGAAACTTTGGAATATTACTAATTTTGTGATGCTCTTTCAAGCTGTG